GGTGATGTAGTTGTGCATAAATCACATTCACCATACAGAGTCATATATCTGGACACTGATGAGCTGGTGAAGTGCTCCTCTCTCTCCTTTATTTTTTTATTTTTTATTTTTATTTCTTTTTTTTTTTTTTTTGAAAGGTTTTCTCTGTGTAGCTTTTCGCCTTTCCTGGAACTCACTCTGTAGCCCAGGCTGGCCTCAAACTCACAGAGATCAGCCCACCTCTACCTCCCGAGTGCTGGGATTAAAAGTGTGCACCACCACTGTCCGGCTCTCTGATTTATTTTTAAGGCATGCTTTCACTATGTAGCTCAGGCTGATTCCAGTTCACAGCCCTCCCTGCTCTGCTTCCAGGGAGCTGGGATTTCAGGTATATGCCCTCACACCCACTACAAATGTCTATTTGTGAACTGAAAAAGGGAGTCTATAAGCGGATGCGGCGAATTCAATGTAATGAAAAGAGGAAGCGCTGATGAGTTTGGCCAAGTAACCAAGTGAGGTTTCTGGTGCCTGGTTACAGAGTGGTGCTTGTCACATCTGAGACTCAGCCTCTGCTTGTGGTACCCTCTAGTCAGATGTTATATTGAAATGGAGCCCTGCAAGGGGATGGCCCTTCATTCTGGGTTATACTGCGATGTTTTTGTATATCCACTGATGTCCTAATTTTGAGTTTTAAAGTGAGGAGTGGGAGAGATGCTCCACAGTGAAGACCTTGGGCTGCTCTTGCAGAGGGTCAAGCCCCATTCCCAGCATCCATGTCTGATGTCTTACAACATCTATAATCCAACTCCAAGGGACCTAGTGTTGCTGGTCTCTATGGGCACCTGCACTCATGTGTACGTACCCACACACAGATATACATAATTAAAAATACAATAGATCTTAAAATTTAAAGATTTATATAAAAAAACGTAGAAGAAACTCTAAAGAAAATGTAAAAAGGTAAGATATTAACCACCTGTCCCAAACAGCTATTTCTATGGCTTAATGAAGATGAACTGCTCTCTGGATGAAATGTGAGATTTTATTTTTAGAATTATATATTAAATCTGCAATTAAGTCCATAAATGAAATGTTCATAAAGTTTATTCATATGCGTTTTATTTTAAATCAAGTTTCAGAGTAGTTCCAGAGATAAATGGGGTGATGTTGAAGTTTTTCTAAAACGAAGACATTAGCTGTGTTGGAACTCACCTGTAATCCCCGTATTCAGAAAGCTGAGGCTGGAGGATTGCTACAATTCAAAGCTAGCCTCAGCTACATATCGAATTCCTCACTAGCTTGGACTATAGAACAAGACCTTGTCTCATAAGGTAATAGTAAAAACAAAATCGGAGACACTGTTAGTTCTAAATTTTTATTTCCAGTGCTGGGGGTTGAACCCAAGGATTTGTGTATGCGGGACGAGTGCTCTACCATGGAGCTATAACCACAGCCCTGCAAAGTTTACATCAAAAAGCAACAGATGTTAACATAGCACATAATAAACAAGTCATCTATAGTCCAAATATTCTAAAACTATCGTTTTAGTATATCATCTTTTAGCCATCACTTAAAACACATTTATTTCTTAGATGATAATTTTTAATATTTTTAAAATTTAAATTAAAAAAAATTCCTTTTATTCTATGTGTATTTGTTTGCCTGCATGTATGTTTGCATACCACATTTGTGCAATGCCCTCAGAGGACATTCTATCTATCTGTCTGTCTATCGTGTGTGTGTGTGTGTGTGTGTGTGTGTGTGTGTGTGTGTGTG